AATAGCTGGGTTTGTCCCTTTTTAACCCAGCGCTGGGTTATATTTAACCCAGCATTTTTTAGAGTGTATTACTATTCAAAAGAGAATACCGGAAAATATTACATAATTAATTTATGTCTCCTATTAGCTAAATTTGACATTCATAAACAAACGTCTACTGGCTCTAAACCTCTCTTCTCTGACAAATTAATTGAAAAGAACCATTTCAAAACAATTTACTATGGCTCACTATGACTGCGGGAACCCTGTATCCAAATAATAACCAAAATGTTTTATGAGAAATATAAAAAGACAATATGTTTGCTAATAAATGTTAATTGATATAAGAGTGCTAAAAAAAATAAAAACGTACTTTTTCAGTTCATCTTTGAAAAATGCAAGATTTCGAGGGTTTGCAAAGTTGTGTTTGCGATGATATTTGCTGAATGATGCCTTGACATGGCTGCAAAACAAGCAACAAAATGTTCAAGACAAAGAATTTAGTTGCACTAAAAGAGAAAAAAGTACTGGCTTATGCTCTGTGTGAATGTCATTTGAGCTCGTGTTTATATGTAAGGTCATTCGGAAACAGAATCACTCACTAGCTTTGCATGATCTTTTTAAATGAACTCTCAAGGTTGTTGTTGATCTTCTGCACCATTTCATAAACATCTGAGCCAGGAAAGGATGCACCCTTACTGCAGTCAACAGTCAAGAGAACATCATTTACAAACATCACAATCTATTCAAATATATCTACATAAACATCTACACTATATAAACAACTTCCTACCACTCATTTTTGCTCAGCTCAATCTGACACCCAAGGAAGCGCTGTGCCTCACTCTGTGCCTTGGCATCAAATGAACCTAAAGCAAACAAAACACATGACAGCACGATACCGTTGCAATAGATCACATATGATTTTATTCTACTCTTTTATAAAACAGAAAGTCACATACTCCAGAACCCCTCCAGGAATAAAACACTCACCGTATTTCAGCATCTGAAGACAGACAGCCAGAGAAGGGATGGCCACTGGGAGAAGCTCACACAGCACAGTGTGATGCTCATACCTTCAACACACAGTTTTTCATAAACTTCAATTATTACTAGAGAAATATTTTTTAATAATAGTGTCATGTCGTCATATATGTTTGTATGTATATATCCTCATAAATCCTCGTATAAATTGCAAACACAGTAATGCTTTAGGTTTGGAAGTTCCTATAACCTTTACAGTTGGTATCAGGGCCAAAATATTTGAAGAAACCATTCAGTAAAACCGCAGGCTTACCTCTGCCAGCCAGTCAGAGCAATGCCTCGGAATCTCACAGACTTGTACTGCGGCATGGATGTAATGACTTTCTGCCACTGTAGGTGGTTTTTTAAGTGGTGATTGATTGGAGTCCATTTCTGGTCAATTCCAGAGGCTCCTTTAAAAGCGCTAGCAAACCACACACCCTTAAATCCAACCTGCTCATACTTATATATATAGCTACCTACAAACAATGAGTAAATATGAAATTAGATTTGGTTTGACATACACTATCATTCAAAAGTTGGGGTTGATTTTTTTTAATGTTTTTGAAAGAAGTGACTTGTGCTCACCAAGGCTTTGATCCAAAATATAGTAAAAACTATAAAATATGATACATTTAAATTTTATTACCATTTAAAATAACTTTCTGTTCTGGGCAAGAACTCCCTGCGCCTCCATGCAGCCTAGCATGGATGAGAGCAGGGAGAGCAACGATAACCCCCCAGGGTAAACAGAACAGAACCAACATAAATGTACACATTTTAGAATTAGTCTGATTCAAGGAGAATCAGAAGGCTGAATCCCGACTGACAGAGGAGGAGCTGGG